CTGATCAGATGCATGTTGCCTGTACATGTAACTCAAAAACAAGTCCCACAAATGCTGCAATTCTTGCTCCCTAGTCATTGAGCTTTGAGCTGTTGCCATAGCTTACAGAGTAAGTAAACATGCAAAAGAGTAAGTAACATCCAAAACTCTTGGAATATAAAAATAAATGAGACTTTAATGCCCCATCCTAAGCATGGTAATGCCACATTTAGTTCACTGGAACACATTTCCAAGCAAATGAGCATTGAGTTGCAATAGTTTTGCAGGAGATCTCTAGGAACTAGGGGTTAATCTGGTCTCAGAAACAGACTCTGATCTCTCCCCCCACCCTTGCTGCTGTCGTGAGTCCTTGCTGCAAGGTCCATTTCCACCTGGCCTTGGAGGCAGGGCCCAGACTCGCTCTGAACAGTCAAAAGAGGCTCCTGGGAGGCTGGAGGTACATTGCTGGAACAAATCTTGGGTTGGGGCAACTGGCTAAAATGTTTCACCATGTTTTAAGTGGTTCCTCTGTTTTGTTTTTGTTAGGTTGGTGTTGGTTAAATGTTTAGTTGGGGTTGGCGGTTATTTTAATTTGGGTATAGCTGTTAACTGTTTATTGTTATTGTTGTTGGTATTGTCATTATTGGTTTCTATTGATTTTTTTGGTTTGTTTGTTGTCTGTATAGGATTTTCTGTTTTTTTCTGTTTGTTGTGTTTTTATATATGCTGTAAGCTGCCCCAGCCAGATGGGTGGGATCTAAATTAAAAATTATTATTATTATTATTAATCACAGAATGTTATTAACCAGACAACAAAAACCAACATCAGCATAGCAAGGGCAGCATGCAGGAGACAGTTGCACAGACACACTTATACAGTACATTATACTGTAATAAACTCTGAAAACAGAAAAAGGTTTTTTGTTTTATTAAAAGGAATGACTATTCTCTGCTGCTGTTGCATCTGCACAGTGCTGGCTAGTGGAGCTTTCTGAAGTAAAAAGAGGCCTGCAGTATGTAGACTGAGATCTGATGGAACCCTCAAAGACTCATTGTGACTTATTTGCATTATACCTCACAGATATGCAGACAAAACCACTTGCATTTGTTCTCACTCGGCTGCCATCATTTTAACAGTCAGAGATGGATGCAGCCAGGGTTCCATCTAGTTACCATATTTTTCCGTGTATAAGACTAGGGGGGTTTTTTAACCAAAAAATTAGGTTTAAAATTCGGGCTCGTCATATACACGGGTAGTGCTGAGGGGTGTTTTCTTAATTTGGAGCCCCCAAAATAATTTGATCCTTGACAGATTTCAGCTTATGTAGTCCAATGAAGTGGGCAAATTACTTGCCCTTCCTGAATATTAAAACTTGCCAGGGCTGGACTTGCCATTTCGACTTTAGAGTTGCGTAATGCCTCAAGACAGCATCTTGAGAAGTAGAGACGTCAGCTTGCCAACAAAGGTCCGTATAGTTAAAGCCATGGTCTTCCCAGTAGTGATGTATGGAAGTGAGAGCTGGACCATAAAGAAGGCTGATCGCCAAAGAATTGATGCTTTTGAATTATGGTGCTGGAGAAGACTCTTGAGAGTCCCATGGACTGCAAGAAGATCAAACGCATCCATTCTTAAGGAAATCAGCCCTGAGTGCTCACTGGAAGGACAGATCGTGAAGCTGAGGCTCCAGTACTTTGGCCACCTCATGAGAAGAGAAGACTCCCTGGAGAAGACACTGATGTTGGGAAAGATTGAGGGCACAAGGAGAAGGGGACGACAGAGGACGAGATGGTTGGGCAGCGTTCCCGAAGCTACCGGCTGAGTTTGACCAAACTGCGGGAGGCAGTGGAAGACAGAAGTGCCTGGCATACTCTGGTCCATGGGGTCATGAAGAATCAGACATGACTAAATGACTAAACAACAACAATCACTTCTAAATTTGCATCTATGCATATAAATTAGCAGATGCAAAATTTATGTATATTGATGTTCTCTGTTTACCTTTTTTTGTGAGGAGACATACAAATCCTTCCCACCCCCCAAGTGTAAGTAGCCATCCTATGGGCTTTCAATAAAGGAGAGGGAAGCTTTGATCAAGGGAGTTATAACTACAGTATACACCTTAAAACTCATTTTATGATTACAATTTATTTTAGTTTTGCTGTCACTCAGCAACAAGCACTTTCAGTCTTGGGAAGCTAGAAGCTGCTTCCAGCACTTTGCTGTCAAAGAAATCAGTGAGACAAGTACTGTCAGGGAAGCTCCATTCAGAACTTAAATGGTTCATAATTGCCTTCTCTTGTCAAAGAACAAAAAGATCCCTTGTTGGGCTCTTTCCCCTTTTTTTCTTCAGAAATGCTGTACAGAAGACAAATTAAGAAAAGAGCCAAAAGTAGCTCATAGAGAAAAGCAAGTTTTAATAGTCTGGGAGCCACATATTGTTCAAAGGTATTTGTAATCCAAAACCACCTGGAGTTGAAAAACCACTACTTTTTCCAAAATTTTACTCAAAACAATGGAACTTTAGATACTAGGTGATAATTATCCAGAATTATCCAAGTCTCCATATTTTGTTTTAGTGTTTTAAACAAGGTTCAAGCACTGCTTATGACTGTCCACTCCACCCCAAAAGGCATTTGTTGTTTAGTCGTTTAGTCGTGTCCGACTCTTCGTGACCCCATGGACCAGAGCACGCCAGGCACCTCTGTCCTATTATCCCACCTTGCTAGTGTGTGAAATGAGTGCAATTGTGCAGTAGCTGGAGCATTCTTTGGCACTGCCCTTCTTTGGGATTGGGATGTAGACTGATCTTCTCCAATCCTCTGGCCACTGCTAATTTTTGATTACTGCAGTTTAAATAAAAACACAATACATCTCAATATAGTGGGGAAGTCTGTGTCTAGGTGACATGTATGCCTTCTCTGTTGTATCCTAACTATTGACGGATAACTTCAAGGCTCCTGATCTTCCTTGTTATCATCAAACCAGACTTGGACTGGATGTCCCTTAAAACAGAGGGCATCTTCAAACAAAAAACCGTTGGCCACTCTTTAAGAGCCCAGTTTGTTTTTCCCATTGCTGATGTGTTCTGCTTAAACAAGAAAACGTAACCTTTTCCAGATATGCATCTTCAGTTTGTTGGTGCATGCATTTCTATGCCCTGGGTAGTAGGATTACTGGGTTTGGGTTTGCTTTGATGAGTGCCATGGCCTGGCTGGACACAGAGGAATGGTGGGAGGCACCTAATGGGAAACTCCCATGGCAAGAAGGCTCAGAGCCCAGTGATTGGCAGTGGGATAATAATGAGTGGTCAGAGCGAGAAGAGGGAAAAGACTCGAAAGAGGATGTGTCAGAAGCTGAAGACATAACAGGTTTTAGAGAGCAGGGAGAGCCTGTGGCAGAGAGAATCCCAGAAGCGGAAGCAGAAGAGGAGGGAGGCCAAGATACAAAGAAGAGTCAGCCAGGTGAGGAAGCAAAGGTGTCTCCCCCTCCTGCTTTGATAAGCTCCCCTTTTCCGTGGTCTCCCAGGACTAGGAGGGGTATGCGTGGGAGGAGCAAAGACAGGCATGCTGTCATAGTCTCAGATTGCTTGGGAAGAACCTGGTAGAGGAGGAGACTTAGGTAGCTGTGGGAAGGGGGGGGGACCCTTAGTCTCTACAACTGCTTCATAGGGGAAAGGCCTGCCGAAGAAGAGTTGCTGTGCTCACTAGGCCTGGCAGTCCTGAACAGATCCTGTTTCTTCTAATAAAGAGTTAACTTCACTTACTCCATCAATTTAATGCTGGCGTGCTCCTGCCATCAGTTTCTAGGTTATTTTTGCCTTCTCTTCAAGTTCATTTTCAAGTTGAAATATTTAATTTAAACATTTCATTTAATATTAAAATACTTTGTTTTGCTGCTTAGATACATTTAATGGCAGTTAAAACTTGATGTGTGTTAGATGATGGAAACTCATTTTTTATCCTTTCTCTCTCTTTTGCCAGACATGCATTTGTGCACAAATTCCTAGTCAGTAATTTATTGCATGAGCGAGTCTGTCAGGGTTTTCCATTTCACAGTGTGGGTCAATATTTTTTTCTTGTGGAAAAAATGGTAACTGATATATATTGCACAGCATTCCATGTGTTTTTCCCTTGTCAAAAGTTTGCCAGACTTTTGTTATAAAGAAAGCAGACTGAAGTCAGAAAGATGAGAGGGGGAAATAAACAAAAATTCACCTTCAAAGCTGCCAATTTTAACTTTTAAAGGTCTCTCCCCCTGTATTTTAATAGCTGCCAAGGAAAATCTTCAGTACCTAGGTGCCAAGGCATGTTTCAACTGCTGGCATCCTTGGGCAGTTGCCAAGGTCCCAGTACTGGCATCTGCTCTCAGCCCTTTTTAACTCAGTCTCAACTTGCCATTCTGAGCAGCTCTAAATACCTGTCTCTAACTGCTACACTCATTTCCCAGAATGCCCATCTCTCTGAGGCATTGGCTACAGTCACAGATTTCAGTAAACCAAGGATGAGAAATTACTGACTCACAGCTTCTGCTGCTCAGCTGTGACTCCATGCAGCAATTAAGCTTAGGAAAATCAACTTTTTGAACCAGTGGCATCTTTTTAAATATCTAACTGGTGTGTCAGCGGAGGGGGCAGTTTGAATGAGAAAGGGAGGGAGAGGGGAAATTGTGTGACCCTAACCATGATTTGACCACTAGGGGGCACTTTTCTGTGGGCCATCTCAAATCTGGGCGCAGACTCTGTCAGATGCATAAGATTTCTAGTCTTTAATGAGAATTGCTTTGAACGGTGCATGACTGATGCCTAGCCTTAATTCCGGCTAGATGTTATATTTGGAGGCTGTATTTTGGGTGGGTGGCTAGCATTATCACACACACATACACATGCATGTTTAAATAAACACACAGGCATCATAATAAATGTAATTTTCAAGAGCAATTGTTTTCATTAATTCGCAGAACACATGACTGAATAGTGCACGGCGGGTAAAATGAAATTGATTCTTCTTCTTTTTAAATGCAGTTACTTTGAACTGGAAAGCAGTGGCCTGAGAGATGAAATAAGATATCACTACAGATTTAATGGAAAGTCAAGAACAGAAGTATTTCCGTATCGGCTGGCAGATGGACAGTGGCATAAGATTGCGTTATCACTTAGTGCATCCCACCTCCTGCTTCATGTCGACTGCAATAGGTAAAGTTACTTCTCTGTAACGTTTCTCTTGAATAACTGCCTGCTCTTCAGACTAAAACTAATTATTTGATGAAATCTGCCATAAAGTTCTGTATGTGCCAAAAAAAAAAAAATTGCAGAGAAAAGTGAATGTGACAGAAGACAGCATTAGAATGAAACAGTAAGCCTGTGATTATGAACAAAAGGCTGATTGCTGATTTTGGGGTAGGGGGGGTAGGATATTGAATATATCTCCATGTTCTGTAGATATGTGCTCAAGCAATGTTTGCCTTGATTACATATAATGCACTGCACTGAACTGTCCATAGCTTTCCGAGTGAGAAAGGCTTCTCAGTATACCTCCATCGCTTGAAGGTGTTATGTGTTGTTGTTTTTTAAAAAAATTCTTTGAATGTAATCAAGTGCTTTGGGGGGGGGAATCTTTAAAATCTTTTCTAAATATAAACTTCTAAAAGAGTGATATACCTTAATTGCTTAGAACTCCTACTAATTCTCTGCATCAATTTGTTCTGCTATTCTGTAAGAAGTTCACAGTAGATGCAGGCCTACTTTATTGGGGGGGGGAGATGGGGACTCGTTGTGATATTGTATCATTTATTCATTTATTAATGTATAGGCTTGAGCAGATGTTGAGGGTGCAGAAGGAAGCACACAGGCAGTTCCAGATCTACAAGCCCAAACCTCACTAGAAAATAACTTGTCAAGGCTACAAGATTCTACACTAGAATATTTAATGATGTTAGGTATAAAGCAACATTGCTTCCAGTGTCTTTTAACTCACCTAAAATCATAATTCTGACATAACAAAAACAGATAATAACATTGAAGCATTAGCTATTAAAGACTTAAAAAGCATTATGTTACACTTACTACATCCTCTTAGAATCTTGGTTGAACTGGCATAAATCATACATCATGAAATGCCTACAATATCTGGGGGAAAACATATGGGGATATTTGGCATTTTTTATTTGTCATGGGTTGCCTGTTTTTAGTTGGATTGGCTGGCCAGTGACCATGACATGACATTTATCACATTTGAAATTTATTTAAGGTATTTAGGAATGGGTTGTATCAGGTGATTTTGCCTGTATGTGATGGTTATGTGATTGAGGGTAAACCTTACAGGAAAAACAATAGCTGAAGTGCTGGATATTCATTTATCATTTTCGTATTTTCTCTCTGTGTCATGAATTGTGTAAACAGATAGTTTCCTTTACACGCCTATATGATCCAGCACTAGGCGGTACAATATTTTTAACTGAAAAAATATTTGGGGGAAATATCTGCACCAAGGAACATATAATCATTTATTGTTATAGGAAATTATAGAATTCGTTTATTTTGGTTACATGCTTGAAATGCACATTATTTGGAAAAAAGTATTGTATAGTGTAGATAACATCATACATTCAATATTTATATTGAACGTAATTTTTATTTTATTGTACAAATTTTTTGTTTTTATGTATACAGTAACCTCACAACAGATAAATGGCAAAAGAGCCAGCCTGCAAACTCAGCTGCCTACAGCATCTTTCTTTGTCAAATGCTCTGCATGTAAGCTTGTTTTAGGCAGTAATCATGCAGGGGACTATAACGTGAGTTACTTTCTGACAGCATGCCATTTTTACAGGGACATTCATGAACTGGAGCCCACTTAGCCCAAGTGCAGGGGGATTCTGCTGTTCTCGCTGTAGCAGACTAGCATGGCTTCCTTTTGGATTCCTCACACCCCACCCCCAGTAGCTGACAATCCAGAGAGGATGTGCTGCACTGTTTGCCCATAATATATGAGAAATTCGTTTTCCATGACCAATATACATCACATCTCCTAAGAGTTACTTTACGTAACAGGACAACATCAGTGTCTCTAAAATACACATTCAAAGGGCATTTTCATTGAAATATGGTATATGCTTGAAGAGCGTGCATTTTAAAAAAACACATTTCCACTTGTTTTCTCTGGCTGAAGAGCTTAAAGGATTGCTAATGGGCACTTAAGCATATGCTGTTCTCAGTGGCATTTCCTAGAATGCCTTTCTTGCCCTAAAATGTGTAGGTATTGGTTTACAAGGAGTTGTTTATTTGTATACATTTGTATACTGTTTATCATAAAAAGTGGTTGACAAGAAAATATATTAAAAAGTTCAAATAAAATGTTTGATTCATAAATTCAAATACCAATGGTACAATTGAGGGAAAGTCTGGTTAAACAGAACAGTTTGAAGCAAAATATTGGAGGGGGGGAATTCAGTGTTGATGCCTGCTAAATTGGAGTTGTTCTCAAGTTAAACGTTACAGAATTTGATTCACAATAAGATCATGCTGGCCACATGACCCGGAAATATTGTCTGCGAAAGCAGACAGGCGCAGGCTCCCTCAGCCTGTAAAGCAAGATGAGTGCCGCAACCCTAGAGTCATTTGTGACTGGACTTAATTGTCAGGGGTACCTTTACCTTTTGAAGATTGAAGAAAGCTACAGTTAGCATGGCCTTCTGTTGAGTGAATCCTAGAATTATTTAAAATTATATCCACTTACTCTTTCTTATATTATAGAAAGCACAAAGAATTAATGTAGATAATTAAATTACAGTTCAGTCTTTATGTTTCTACTTTAAAGTAAGTCCCATTGATTTCAATGGAGCTTGCTCACAAGTAAGTGGGTAGAGGATTTCAACCTTAACATATTGGGAGGAACAAAAAAAATTCCTTCCAGTAGCACCTTAAAGACCAACTAAGTTAGTTCTTGGTATGAGCTTTCGTGTGCATGCACACATGCACACACATGCACACGAAAGCTCATACCAAGAACTAACTTAGCTGGTCTTTAAGGTGCTACTGGAAGGAATTTTTTTTGTTTTGACTATGGCAGACCAACACGGCTACCTATCTGTAACTGATATTGGGAGGAGTTCAATATCACACTAAGGCAATCCTCCCATCAGGACAAGCATTTAGGCTTGCCAGATGGAACAATCCCTTTTCTCCCACACATGCTCTTCAAGGGGATTTCCCAAACCCCCCTGCAAGCCAATTTTTTTGGGGGGGGGGTGGGAGAAGGGGGGAAGACCTTGTAGTTCAGCCTTCTGGCATCAGTGACACTGAGCAGAAGAATACACCTTCCAGGTTTTTACTTGTTTGTAGATTGCTTTTGGCTCCAGCAGAGACCTGGCAGTCTCCTTTCTAGACTGCAATAGTGAAATTTCTGGCAGGTACTAAACACCAATTAGAGCATGCACAGGGGTGCACAACCTGCAACCCTCCAGATGTTGTTGGGCTACACCTCCCATCATCCCTGATCACTGGCTATGCTGGCTGGGGCTGATGAGAGTTGTAGTCCAGAAACATCTGGAGGGCTGCAGGTCGTGCACCCCTGCTCTAGTTGATAGTTAATATATGTATATGGGTGCCTCATAACACTTTTTCATGCTAGAACCATGTACTTAGCACTTCCTTTACTTCTAAGCTGTGTCTCCCTTGATAACACTTGGTAGTTCCATGGAGTGAAGGAAGGGTGCTTGCCCTCTGGTGCCAAACTACTATTACAGCTTTTGAAGCAAAGGTCCCTCCAGCCTCCCGGTTTAATTTCCTTCTCTTTGTGTTTCTAGATGCAGTAGCAAACACCTGAAAGGCAGGTTCAGAGAAATCCTGACATCTTGTAAACACTTCTTGAAGGGCTTTATGTGAGGCACTGAAAAAAAAAGATAATGAACTTGATCCTTCCTCCTTAGAGTCTTGACTATAATTAACTGAACTGCTTCTTTCCTAATGCTGATTGATAGCTCAGTTGTCTTAGCCTCTTTGACATGCTTATGTCCAGTAGTTTTTTCAGTGCCTTTGTTCTGTGTGAAAGACAGGGTTTCTGCATTTTTTTTATTTGCTCAAGCTTATACCCCTCCGATAAGAAAGTTCAATAAAATAATTTCAAATAGCTTATTCTGTGGTGACTAGCTCATGGACTAATTAGGCTTTTAAAGTTATAACCACAATATGGCTGTTGGTAATTGTAATTTGCTAATAGCTTAGGCTAAGGGGATTCCTTCAGGATGTTTACCAGATTAAAAGCACTGGATATTGGGTCCAGAACAGAACAAATGATTCAGATTAAAGGAAATAGAGATCCTTACCGAATGATATTTTCAGGCTCGATTCCCTTCTACCTAATCCTCTTCTGCAATACTAGTTCTGAAGACAATGTTGAAATATGCTGTCCAAATGTTTGAGTGGTGCTCTGCCTTGAACCAACCCCTAACTTGTAAACAAAGCAAAGCAAAGGAGCATGACAGTTGTTGAGTGTATGTGTGAGAGTTGACTAATAATGTCACAGGCACTCTGTAGTAGATACACTTGTGCAACCACATTTCAGGCCAAGGGCAGGTCAGTCTAGGAGTTTGGCTGCTTTGACCCAGTTTCTAAGTTTAGGGGACAGAGAATGAAACATACTTTGAAGTCAAAGTGAAGCAAGTTCAAATATCAAAGTGGTCAGCTGTTTAAGTGATGCAGAAAGACCTGAAGCAGCAAATGTACCTACACTAATCATGATAGTTACAGTGGTACCTCGGGTTAAGTACTTAATTCGTTTCAGAGGTCTGTTCTTAACCTGAAACTGTTCTTAACCTGAAGCACCACTTTAGCTAATGGGGCCTCCTGCTGCCGCCGCGCCACCGGAGCACAATTTCTGTTCTCATCCTGAAGCAAAGTTCTTAACCCGAGGCACTATTTCTGAGTTAGCGGAGTCTGTAACCTGAAGTGTATGTAACCTGAAGCGTATGTAATCCGAGGTACCACTGTATATCAGTTGCCACCCTGAGCCAGTTAAATAGCCAGTTAAATATTAGTTCTGCTAATATACTGCTTTTTTTTAAAAAAAATAACTTCTTACCTAAACTTTTGTATACAAAAGAGAACTGAACATTTTCTTATTTTTTTCCAACCCAAGCCTTCTGCTGACACTTCAGTCAATTTCTTAAGGCTGTGAAAGTGATTAGCAGTGCCTT